TGAGGATCTTCAATTCAATAGATGTCTCCTCTTCATGGAGCTCTGCCCCAGGTGTTCACACACAGCCGTGAGATCAGTATAACCCAGGTGGGAGGACACTTGGGAGTGAGTGTCCATTTTACTTTCTAAGGGGTAATTAATACGAACTTTATTTTTTTCCTTCCCTCTTCTTCTTTTGATTACTGAGGACTGAACTCTGTAGAACCTGTCAGGACTCTCTTACAGGTGGTCTCTGTCAGCTAAGAACGCCTTTCCTGGGGTGGCAAACTGTCTGTGTGAGAGGATATAAAAGGTGAACACTTTACATTTCTAACACTTTCTTCTGGAAGACCTTTTTTTAAGAAACCAAGCCAAGCCACTGTCTTAATTCATTTCTGTGGGGCAGTTTATAAACACTAGAAGTCTGTTAGGCTTACAGTTCTGGGGACTGGGAAGTCCACAGGTACAGGCCTGTCAGTTGGAACTTCCCTCCTATGTGGTAACATCGTGTGAGTGAGGGAGAACAGCAGATGTCCTTGAAGCTTCAAGCCCTTATACTCCACATCTGTCCCATTCACAAGGGTGCAGCCCCGAGCACCTAACCACCTCCCATTGCTCAACACTGTCACACTGGGGATTGTTTCCACTACATGATTTTGGGAGACACATTCAAATCATTAGCATTCTACCTATGTCCTCCAAAATGTACATTATTTTCTCCTACAAATTACAACTGTCCACCTCAAAAGTCTAAATTCCTTCCAGTGCCAACTAAAAAGACCAAAGCCGAGTGAAGGCAGGCATTTTCATTCGCCCTGACGTTGACTCTTCTCCAGCTGGGAATCAGGGAACTCAAACACATTATCAACTTCTAAAATTAACTGTGGGCCAAGAATGGTGGCTAATGTCTATAATCCCAGCACTCAGTAAGCCCAGTGCTTGTGAGGCTGAGGCAGGAGGATCACTTCAAGTTTTAGTCAGGACTGCTACAAGGTTACTTCAGAGTCACTCTAGGCTACAGTGTCAGTGACCCTATCTCAAAACCACAAATATGGTGAGATGGTGTTTGGTAAGTCCAAACCCAAAGAGGTGACCATTTAAATCTGAAGACTCTGGAGTAACCATCTGCTACCTCCTAGAGGCCCTAAAGGGTTTGAGCCTTCACTAGGCACTGCCGTAGTTGGGGCTCTCTGTGGTAACCCTGCCCCCGTGACAAGTCTCTGCCTGAAGCCCCGAACTGTCCAAAATGTCTTTGACGATTGGTCCCATAGCTTGTATGCTGAGTCAGTACACATGGCTCCTTCCAAAGCTTACAGCTTCCATCCTTCTAACCTAGTCCAGCTTGAGGCACACTCAGAGTAGCCCAGGAATGCTGCACCAGAATGTAGATGCCTTCTAAGGTGGCTCTGGGCAGCAGATACTGTTCTGGAAATCTTGCTTTCAAAGTCCTGGCTTGTCTCAAAGATCTCAGACAGTTAAGGCCACTCTCTCGTTATCCTGAAGAATAAATCCTGAGTGACAGAACCTAAATAGTCTCTTAAGCAAAGGGTTACTAGCTATACCCATAGTATTCTCTCCTGGGCATGGTTTTTCACTCTTACCAGGCTACAAATCTCCCCCATCTCTCTGCTCTGCATCCCCTTTAATTATAAATTCCATCTTTAAATCATTTCTCTCCTCTCTCAGCCAAAAGAATCTTTGCAGCCAGCCCTCTGAAGGCTTTGCAACTGAGCAGATATTCATTCTGCCAGATATCATACTTCATTGCTCTTTATGTAGAAGTTCTGCCTTCCACTTACTCCTCAGGCAGAATTCTGTAAAACAAAGATGGCCTCTACCCCAGCCTCTAAGGCTTTGTCCTCTTCCCATTAGAATGCCCTTTACCCTTAGCCTGCCCTTTCTTCCTTCTCTCCTCCCTCTAGGTCACACCTCTAGGCTCTGCCTCCCAAGTGAGTGCTAGATTAGGGGGATAGTGGTATTACAGGCACAAGCCACCAAACCCCACTTCTCTACCACTGATCAAAGCTGCTTAACTAATTATAAATGCTCTATACTTTCTCTATGGTTCCGAGTTTTCACCACCATTACCACTAATGCTCCATTCACAGCAACCTAGGCCTGTTCAAGTTTATTTTCCCAAATTCTTCCATACTCTACTGCCTGAGCCATTCCCCTCATTGTAAAGAAACTGTTGTTCCAACAATTCCCTTCTCATTACGTATACAAGGTATGTTTTGTGCTGCTATGACAGAATGCCATAAGCTAGGCAATGTATAAAGAATGGAAACTAGGTTTTTGTTTGTTTGTTTGTTTGTTTTTTGCCATTCCAGAGGCTGAGATGTCCAGGGTTGATGGGCAACACCTGCTTAGGGCCTTTTTGTGGTAACATGAACCATAATGTGGGAGAGGTGTCACCCACATGAGCACCCAGGAATTCAAACTCATGACCCCAAGCTCTTTTATAACAGGCATCAATCCAAGCTTAGGACATAGCCCCTGTACTAAATGTCTGTCCTTGGGCCCCACCTCTCTGTACCTGTAGCATTGGGGACTAAGTCCAACATGCAAGTTTAGAGATGAACCCAACCATAGCAACCATTCATTTGAGTATTTGCTTTTGTAGAAATGACCACTTCTGGATATCAATGATAGATGGTCCTTTTAGTCAGTAAAAGATAAAGGAAGTATGGCCCCCAGTCTCTCAAGGTGTTCGAGTGGCAAGGACAACAAAAATTTAGAATATATACATAAGGGCTGAAGAGATGGTTAAGCGGTGAAAAGCATTTGTTGTTCTTGCAGAGGGCTCAGGATCGATTGCTGGCACCCACATGACAGCTTACAACCATCTTTATAATTCCAGATCTTCAGGCACTATACATCCATGCAGTGCACATATACACACACAGGCAAAACACTCATACAAATAAAATCAATACATTTTTAAAAATAATCTGTATAGATGAGATAACTCCACCCCCATCCCACCCCACCCCCAGGTACAGGAAATCATTTCTTTCCACCAAGTCCCATTTCCCCACCACCATAACTTCTTTTCAAAAGCTAGGAGTAAATTATCGGGGAGTAAAGTGGGAGGGAAAGATTTCAATGCAAAATTCAGAACGGCTCTCTGGAAGGGCAAGTGTAGGGAAGCTTGTTATCATTTATTTCTGCCGTATATCATTCAGTTTCATCTGTCTCCCGTCTCAGAAGTCACTTCCCCATTTCTCACTTATGTGCCTGAGAAACATCTCCCTGGCATCTCATCCTCTCAGTCTTTCCCCAGCATTTCATTATTTCTTAACTGTTCCTCTCCTGTTCATCTCCCTTTCTTCCTGCTGATCCACGTGTCCTCGTTTAGCAGTTTTCAGAAGCCAGGGAGAAGAAACGCTGCAAATAATGTTAAATATGATTAATATCTTGAATTCCTTGAAATATGACATGCATGAGTTACAATGAAACCTCTTTTATTTCCCCATGAAATGCTTTTGCATAATGAGAAAGAAAATGTCCTCTATGCCCTAATCAGCCCTGACAGTTCCTGGACTCCCAAATACTTTTATTTATGGCATTATTTATTTCATCTCTAATAAATGGAGGAGGGGCACAGCACCATCTGAGGAGCTTGCAGAGGAGGACAGTCTAGAGGAGGGAGAACAGAGGCTTTGAAACAGCAAGGAAGATCTTCCTAAGGAAGGGAGGTCTGAGAGATGAGAGGTCAAAGACTTGGGCCCCTGAAGAAAATAGTCACTTTCCCAAGACTAAAAGGATAGCACTCAATAAGAAAGTAACTCCAGATTGAAGAGATGAGGGTCATCCATCAAGGACCTGGATAATGAAGAATGAGGCTGAAACCCAAGCTTGAGAGAAGGGGATGCTGGGACTGGAGTAGGCCTAAATGAAGGGTGTTTCTTTTGAGATAGTGAGGAGTGACTGACAGATGACAGAACCCTTCATTATATTTCAAGGACCTTATGGGGCTCCTCCTGCAAACTATTGGGGTCTGTCTTCATTCAAGCAAGTATTGATATACCGTGCTCCCTCCAAACCCCTAGGCTGGTGGCGCCAGTTAGAACGAGCAGAAAGTGAGATCCCAGGCCACCTTGGTCATGCAAAGTATATGCATAAATAATAATAATGTTCAGAGCTTCCATCCCCGAGGGAAGCGTGAGGTCATTTTGTTCCCTTTAATTGCACGGTTTACCAGCTATTTTAAATTCTAAAGACCTGCCCACATCCGTGCAACTCACTCGCAAGCTCCTCTGTGTGAATTTGGATAACGCCCTGTAATCTTGCAGAGCCTCAGCTTTCAAATCTGTAGAATGGAGAGAAACAATGGCGTCCCTCCGCTCTCTCCTGTGGAGAACAAGTGAAACAGTATTTAAGCCCAAGGCCCTGAGCACTTTCATGTTCAGCCGCCAGACCTGGGACATGCAAGACCCTAAGGCAGGACAAGCTTCCCAGCAGCCCGGGCCAAGTCCTTCAAGATGTTCTTCTCCGAAGGTGGGGGCTGTAGTTTCTTTCTAGAAGAACTTACTGTCCCACCCTTGCACTCCGGCGACCCCGCCCTAACTTCTAGGTACCACCCCCTTCGTGCACTCCGAGAGTTGGGAGGTCACGCAGGAGGGCGCCGGGAACTCGTTTCCAAACCTCGGACCCGGCCGGCTGCCGCGGCCGCCTCACGTCCACAGCCGAGAGACCCGGGACCCCACCTCTTCCACCTGTGCACACCAGGACGCCCTCCAGGTTCCGTCCCCCCTCTCCCCCCCCCCGCCCCGCCACCGGGTCCCCCTCGGGCCGAGGCCTCCCCTCCCCCCACGACCCTGTCCGAGGCGCCGATCGCGCGGGCCGCCCCGGCGCCAGGCCCCGCCCCGCCCCCATCATCATTAGCAGATATTACCCTAAACACTTGCTCCTTACCTCCTTTCTCCCTCCAGGCATTGGCGAGGCGGGCTGTCAATCAGCGCTGGGCGGCAGCCCCCCGCGCGGGGGCTCGGAGATGCCAGGCTCGGCGACAGGCGGCGGTGGCGCTGGCGGCGGCGGCGGCGGCGGCTACCACGGCTCAGACACACGCCTTCCCGCCGGCGCGCGCCGGGGTAGAGCGGGCGGCCGGGCGGCCGAGCCACCCGTGGAGCCGCGCGCGGGCCGGGCAGGGCCTCAGGCTCGGCATGGAGCCCGAGATGCAGGCGGCGGAGGAGGGGCCCAGCGCGCCCCGCATCTACAAGCAGCGCGGCCCCTACAGCGTCCTCAAGACGTTCCCCAGCCGGCGGCCGGCGCTGGCCAAGCGCTACGACAGACCCACGCTGCTGGAGCTGCCGCCCGCGCGGCCGTCCCCGCTGCCGCCGCCGCCGCCCTTCGCGCCGCTCGCCGCCGTGCCCATCAGCAGCAGCGAGCCGCCGCCGCCGCCGTTCCCGACGCAGCCGTCCTACCCGGCCGGCTCAGGCCGGGCCCCCGCCGCCGCCGCCGCCTCGTCGTCGTCGCCGTCCTGCACGCCCGCCGCGCCCCCGAGCCACCCGAGGACTCCGGCGCCGCCCACGGCCCCCGCCGCCTCGTCGTCGTCGTCCTTCGCCGCCGTCGTCAGGTACGGCCCGGGCCCAGCGAGTGGCGCGGGCGGCAGCAGCGCGGGTAGCGACGGCGGCAGCCTGGAGCTCAGTGCAGGTATCGACTCCCGGGCCGCAACTTTGCGGAGCGGCGGCGGTGGCCTGGGGACCTGGGGGAGGGTGGCGGGGGCTCGGGGAGGCCGTGCGTGCACGCGGGGGCCGGTGGGCCTCGGGAGCGAGCGTGCTGCGCCCGGGCAGTAGTAACTTCTGGAAGATTCCCGGCGCCGCCGCGGCCCGGGCTTCCGACGGCGTGCGCGCCTAACAGGTGGCTCTGGGCGAGAAGCTGGGAACGGCTGGGGCTGGGGGTGGGGACGACGCGGGAATTGCAGGCCCCGGCGCGGTACTGGGGAGGGGACGGGCCCCGGGGCAGCCGTCTGAGTCCACTCCACGGAGACGCCCATTTTATTCCCCGCCACTTCACTTTCTCCTGACGCCACACTCCTCTTTCCCGCCCGCCGCCGCTGCTTGTCCTTCTGGCGCTTCCCTGCCCCGGGAAGCGCCTGCCCTTCGCTCCTTGAAGATCCCCGTCACTCCCCTCCCTCCGGCAGTCCGCGGCCACTTGGCCCCTCCCGGGGGCTCTGCGTTTCTTTTACTCTGTGCGCTCCAATTTTGGTGGCGCGCACCGTTCGCTATACCAATGGCGAAGACGCCGCTCCCGGTCAGCTGTGTCCCCGGTGCTCAACTGGGTTGGGTGTGTGTGTGTGTGTGTGTGTGTGTGTGTGAAGTTTTGGGGTGTTTTGTTTTGTTTTTTGTTTTTGATGGGGGCCCTCCTCCAGCCACGGATTCGTGGGCGTCCACGGAACAGAGTTTAAAATGCCCACACACCCAGACCATGAGGCACTGGTTTCTATGTCCCTGAGTGGAGCCGGGATCGTCCACCCAGAGGTGGAGATTGTTCCTCCAGAGAGCTTGAGAGCACTGAGCAAGGCCTGCATAGTCTGCTCCTCCGAGGAAGGACAGACAGCCACATTTATGGTTCCTCATGACTGAAGTCCCTCCCTGCTCAGGCCTTTCTGGGCACTTGAGAGCCTCCCAGCTTCTGTCAGGCAATGTAAGACTGTGTGTGTGTGTGTGTGTGTGTGTGTGTGTGTGTGTGTGTGTGTGTGTGTGTGTGTGTGTGTTTCCTAGTGACAATAGATGGGCATTGTCTCTGAAGGAGTTATAGATGTCTGTGCTAAGAGCTCTGCTGTTTGTCAATATTTTGACATGTGAAGGATTGGTTTGGAGAAAGGAAATCTAATTACAGGTTATAGTGAAGACTTCTGTCATATCTCCCAGTGCTTTGGAGATGTTAGAGATTCTGTGTTGGGGTTCTTACATGGCTTCCTGACTGTTTCTGAGGTGATTTTCACACACACTCCCCACTGCCCTTGCCCTAATATCCTATTGTGTTTTTATGTGTGTTGTTAGGCCCTCCCCAGATTTCGTGTTCTGTTTGGTTTTTGCTTTTGAAACAGGGTCTTTCCCTATCTCCGACTAGCTTGGAACTCGATACTTGGAGGTTCTCATGCCTCAGTCCGTATATGCTTTTCCGTGTGCCCAGTACCCCAGCTCAGCCTTTTCTTTACCTTGTTTTTCAACAGTTTGGGTTCTTTACCTACCCCATTGCTATATTTTACACTCTTGTATAATATTGGTTCCACCCACATCCTTGGGGACAACCCCCTCATCTGCCTGGTTCAGTCCTTGGACGTTCAGTCCTTTCACTTCCTCCAGGAACACTAGACATCTACTCCTTCCTCACCATTTTCATCCATATGTTGCTCTTCTTCCACAATCACTGGATTATTTCTTTCAGCCTTAGTTTCTTAGCAATCTTTCCATGGCTGCTTTTGTTCCAGAAGTTTCGCTTGTCATTTTCATTTGGAGTTTTTTTCCCCCCTCCACTCAGTATTTTTTCTAGTATCCTATTTTAATTTGTCTCTGTCACAAGTTAGAAGCTATTGTCACTGAATCTAAAGATAGGAAGGGGCTTTTTTTTTTTTTTTTTTTTTTTTTTCAAACTTTCTCATACTGCTAGTTTTCTCAAGGCTATTCTGGTTGGGTTTTAATTGTTAGTTTTTGTTTGTTAGTGGGGTCTCCAGGGTATGGTCGATAGGATGGGAGTATGTGGTGGATAATAGATTTCCTCTGTGTGTTACAGAGAATGTTCTGAATGCAGAGGGAGAGCCATAGAATTAAGGTACTTTTAATCACTAAGGTACAGACCACCTCTCAACAGGCACAGTGATATGAGTGGCCATCAGAGTGACAGCCACATGGACAGCTGATTGGTTCTTTGAGGAACTAATGGTGCCACTTTGAGCCAATGAGCTTGTGTGCTCACCAGGGCCTTTTAGACACATGGGGCGGGGCAGGTGCGGCTTTGCCTGTTGAGCCTGAACAGCCTTGTACTTGTGAGTATTAGGAGGCACCTTGTCAGCTGAAAATAGTCAAACAGTAGTGTGATAAGGGAGTGCAGGATAGGAGAGGTATGGCTGGCCAGCCAGGGTAAATGTGCTGGAAAGATACAAAGGTTGAAGTGAATCTTACTTGCCATTAAATGCCGCAAGCCATTGAGAAAAGAAATACTCGATTAAAAATAGATTTTTTTTTCGACATTCTTATAAAAATCTCATGAAGAGTATAATTTTCCTTAAAAGGGGTAATACGCCATGGTTTTAAAAGCATATTTTTCCTCTGTGGGAGGCTTAGAGTTAAAACCCACGTAGATCTTGATATGCAGCCTAAATTTGGCATCAGGAAATGGGAAATTGCATCTTTAAGCAGAGTACAATCAAAAATGAATTACAATAAATCCTATATAATTGCATAGGTCATTCTCTTTAATGAGATTTTATTAACCTGACTGTCAAGCTTTTGAGTCAGGCAGATATTTTATCTTCTTCAACTGATAAAAGTGTCAGCCATAAACCACCATATAAATATTCATAAATCTACACATCTGTGGCAGCCTATCAGCATCATTCTTTTGGACATTAAAAGCATTCTAATTACTTTCTGTCTAGCAGAGCTGAAATGCTGCCTGTTATAGTATGTGCTTGGCAGGCATGATTGCTTTTGTTTGCCATCACAAATAGCAGCATCCTATTTTATATACCGATGGTCCAGAAAATATTCAGGGATTGACTGAGCAGGATGAATATTAGGAAGCACCACCTGCTTTTGATAGCACCAAGTATATTAACTCATCTGTTAATTTTTGACACATCATTGATTTATTTATTTAGAAAAATTGCATCCTGTTTTGCTGTGTTGACGTTTGCCATTATGGAGGAAAAAAATTGGATGGCATTTCAAAGACATCCTTCATTGATTTAAGGAGAGGGTGCTGTTTTCCAAGACGCTTTAATTTTCTGACTTCTGTCCCCTTGTACCATACCATGTAGTCCTCTTAAAAAGAAGTTCATATCTTAAGGGAATCCTCTATTTTGAACTAGTTGCAAGTTCTTTGGTTGATGTATTGTGTGGATACATTAATAGATCCACTAAAAATTTTCTGCTCTTGCATCTTTAATATTAACATAGTTTACCCTTGGCTGAGCTAAAATCAAAAGGTTACCACTAATCCTCAGTGCTCTGGTTTCCCTCCTAGGTGACGGAATTCTCTTGAGGGGCTGGGTGTGATGGGCACACTGTGTGAAGGCCATCAGAGTAGAGAAGATGTTTGATTGTCTGCTTCCCACCTCTTAGTCACTTATCAGATTTAGGATGGATTAAAACCACACAAGTGCAGGCAAATTTCAAGCAATGAAAATCTTAATTAAAAAGAAGAACCACGAGTTTAGACTCCCAGCCCCCGGGTGAACACAATGTACAGCATCTGCATGGCATTATCTCTCAGTGGGTTCACAGTAAAGCACACTAAATTAATGGTCATCCAGAGGGCTTTGGAATTGTGGTTTGCTAACATTGTGGGAAAGTTAGCAGTAGACTTTTAAAGTCCCTTTGTACACTGCTGATTTTATATTTCTCTACTATCCCCTGAGTGAGGGGCACTCTATGACATGGGATTAAAAAAAAAAAAAAAAGTTAAGAAAATCCATTTTATACTTTTCTTAGTTAAGACAGTTGTAGTCATAGGAAAGAGAGCTTTTTTTCTCTGTTTCTTAGAGGTAAGGGCCTTGCACAGTTCCTGCATCTCTACTGTAGTCTATCCAGAAAGCTAAAGTATTGCTGATTGTGGTGCATGTGAAATCCCAGTGCAATGGTGGTATTTTTATCACACTCTTTTGTGTGTTGGTGTTAAAATACACTGCCCAGATATTTCAAGGCTTTGAAAATTCAACCTTAAATGTTTAAAATTGCCATTTTTGTGTAGATCAGTTCTGAGAGCAAATTCAGAATGCTGTCTTTTCAAATCTACAGGCAAGAACTATTTTGTTATCGCTATTCTCTGATTTTCTGAGTGCACTTTAATAGATTATCTTCATAATGTAGTATGTTACATAGTGATTTTTTTCTCAGCATGTTATGTTTATCCTTCAATTAAGAAAACAAATCATGCTTGTCCCTAAGTCAGATATTTTTTCGCTTAAAATCTGTGCTGTAATGTGATTCATCATTATGATTAAAACTACTCTGTTTTGTAGGACACTGAACAAATGTATTTGAGCAGCTCCTCTTACTAGACAGTTCTGTTTAAGTTTTCCTTTTGTATTCATCCCTATTGTCAAGGTTGTGTTAAAGGTGTATGGGCTGTAAATCAATTGGGACTGTGCCGATTAAAATGCAAGCAGTAAACACAACTTAAGGTCTTGTGCGGGATTATAGGATTAAAATGATGAAAACTGCTCTTGTGCTAGAATTGAGTATTCCCAATCAATACTGTTCTTTGATTTTACTAATAAAAGAACAGAAACAAGGAAGCAAAATAACGAGAATGGAACACCTCCACTTGTGTGGTTCAGTTGTTGGCTTCCTGGGTTTGTTTAGGTCAGTAAAGAAATGGCACCCAAGGATCTGTAGGACTTAGGACATGGGCACATTCATCAATGACCTGGTTTGTGATTGGGGTTTTGAGCTGACCCATGATGTGTACTCCTTACAATGGTGTTCTGTCAGCTCTCTTTTATCCTCACTGAGCTGGTCCACCCTTCAGTTCTCTGGCACCATGTTGTGTATTTAACTGGGTAACTCAGATGGGAGGGGCCGGCTTAGGCCTTCCCAGAGGTTGTTGAAGGATTCCTAGGTCTTGATCTTGACACAGGGTCTAAGGAAGGGTAGGGTAGTATTGCTCTCTAGAGCAGGAAGTAGATAGTTCAGTGGGTTCCAAGTCGGAGGGCCTCAGTTCAGATCTCTCTAGAACTCAGGCAAAGCCAAATGCCATAGCATGTCTGCAATCCCAGCACCCCATATAGCAAGATAGGAGATGTTAACAGGAGACTCTGTGGGTGCTATTGGGCGAGGCTGGTATATGCAGCAGACAGTGTTCAAACAAGGGGCTGACACCCAAGATTATCCTCTGACCTTTACATGTGATGTGGCACACATCCCTCCAGACAATTTTTTTTGTTGTCGTTCTGTTTTGTTTTAAGAAAAAATACAGAAGTATACCAAGAAGAAAGCAATAAAGGATTTCAGTCTCTCAAAGGTGGTGGTGGCCTTATGTCTGCCTCCAACCCTGGTCAAGTAAATCTGAAGACACTATGAAAACAAAAGGCTCTGAATTTATAGGTATCCCCAAGAGAGGAGTGTGTGGAGGCCAGAGGTCAATTGTTCCATCCTATTTTTTATGTTTTGAGATTTCATAGGTACATACAATGAAATATGATCACATCTATTCCCATTCTCCTCTCAGCTCCTCCCTGTACCCTGACCCACATGCGCATCTTCCCACTTAATGCCTTCTTGTAATAACTGCCTGAGTCCAGTTAGCACTGTCCTTATGTGCATAGAGTGTGGCGGTTCACTGGAGAAGGGGGACAGTATACTAGTAGTGTCCATCCCACCCCCAATTATTCTTTATCAACTATCAACTACCAATAGCTCCTCAGTTAAGGACCAGGCTTTCCAGTCAGGCAGTTCTTGTTACAGACAGCCACCCTGTTTTCTTCTGACAGGGTCCCTCGCTAAACCTTGAGCTTACTGTTTAGTTAATAGTAGTTAGTCTGTAATCTGCAGGTATCTTCCTGTCTGTGTTTACCAGGTGCTGGGATTATAGGTGTTTGCTGCCCCCATTGTTTTTTTTTTTTTTTTTTTTAAATAGGTGCTTGAAATGGAGCCCAGATCTTGATTGTGCAGCAAGCTCCTCACTCGTGACCCCTCTCCCCAGCCTTCCCCTTGTTTTTAGACATTAGGCTAGACCCATTGGCAGGCCAAGGAGCCCCAGGGCAACCCCTCTGTCTCAGTCTCTCAGTTCTGGGATTATAAGCATATATCCCCACATTCATTTTTTTATATGGGTGCTGGAGATGGAGCTTAGGTGTTTGTGTGACAACCACTTTACCAATAGATCTGTCTCGCCAGTGGGTATATATTGATCCATTCTTCCATGGGTAGATTTGAAGCACTATCCTGACTCCCAGCCCAGTGTAGTCTGTAACCCTCTCGTGGACAGAAGAGTTTTGGCTCAGAATTCCCTAGAATGGTAGCATTGTTTAGACTTGGGGGATGGATACTTCCTGTGTACTGGGGCACTGCTGGGATTTCTTTATGTCTTCCAGTGAAGTAATTGAAACAGGGCATTTGGACCACCATTCCCCAATACCTACTTCATGAAAATATGCTAAGAAGAAGAAAAAAAAAACATGGTAGAACATTGACAGAAGTCTCAGTATCTGTTGTCCACATCCCATGTTGTCTCCCTCTCCCCTCCTGGCCCCATTTTTCTTGAAAAGGGACCTCACTGGGCAGCCCAGGCTGATCTCTAACCCCTGGGTTTAAATGGTCCTACTGCTTGGCCTCCTGAAGAGCTGGGACAGAACATCTGTACCACAACTCATAGGGTACACAGACCAGTAGAATTATGTTTTCATTGGCCATATGTGATGAGCTTTCTTGTGTGTTTTTACTGCATCTGTTGTCTCTACCCCAAAGAAGACCTCAAGCATCTCTATATTTCACTTAAAAGAACATTTTGGTTTTTCTGTCCTAGACCAAGTACAACAAAAATATGTAGTCATTTTCTTCAGAGAAGGCCAGCCAGTAGCAAACCTTCCTGTTTATTTTTATGATAAATAAGAGTTTCTGGCCCCTGAGTTCTCCAGCGATTTATTTGTTTGTTTATTTATTTATTTATTTATTTTGTTGCCATTAATCTGGGTAAAGGGAAGAAATCCAAAGTACCCTCCTTCTGTTGTTAGGCCTGAAAAGTGTCACTTTGTACTAGTGAGATCTGTCTCTCTGTGGTGATGAGCAGGAGAAGGTGGCACCTGCTTCAGTCACACTTAACAATGCATTGGACATTAAGTAATGCTTTCAGGGTGTGGGAGAGATTTTTCTTTGTCCCTATAGTCTGTTTCTCTTCCCTACTTTGCACTGCATGACATGTGCTTAGAATTCAGATAGATATATGGGCTTCATGGTACCCACACTCTGTGCCCCTTTAGGAGACTCGACAGGCCAGTGTAAATGGCTCTGAGAAGAAAGACATCCCATTTTCACATGGTGCTGCCACATAACTCTAAACACTGGCTTTGACAAGAATTCCAGATTAGGAAGACTGTTGAGTGCAGGTGTTGCCTGACAATTTTTTGTCACCTCATCCTCCTGCCTGTAGAGCCGTCTGTGTTACCTTAGATTTCTAGTGAGTTCCTCACACGGACTAATCTCTCTTCTTCAGTTTGCATCTGTGAGCTGCCTGGTTGTGGCAGGGATTGTATCAGCTGATGAATAGCAAGGGCAAGAGGGCACTCCAGAAATAGCAGTAATGATTGCAGGAAGGCCTCCTATCAATGAGGAATTGAGTCTGCAGTGGCTGGCTCAATTCATTAGAGTAAGGATATTAATGAAGCCAAAGGTGTGAGTTCAGACCCATGCATGCCAGAGAGGGACATCTCTATACTGTTCCCCAGCCTTTTCTGAGAATTAGGGCTCAGGCACCCCTTGGTCACAGAACAATAGAGAGCTGTGTGTCCTTTCTGTGGTGGGTTCACTGGGCCTTTTGTGTTGCAAGGTTGAATGAAGCTGGAAGTGGAGGACCTTGCTTCTTCCATGCCTGGCTGTTGGTCACTAATGTCTCTCTTTCATTTTATTCCAGAAAGCCGTATGATCTTGGATGCCTTTGCCCAGCAGTGCAGTCGTGTTCTTAGTCTCTTAAATTGTGGAGGAAAACTTCTGGACTCCAACCATTCTCAATCCATGATTTCTTGCGTCAAGCAGGAAGGCTCTAGTTATAACGAAAGACAGGACCAGTGTCACATTGCAAAAGGGGTCCAGAGTCAGACCTCTGACAACATAGACATAGAAATGCAATATATGCAAAGAAAACAACAAACTTCTGCCTTTTTGAGAGTGTTCACTGACTCTCTCCAAAATTACCTGCTCTCGGGAAGCTTCCCGACTCCAAACACCTCATCAGTCAGTGAATATGGGCACCTGACTGACGTGGACCCACTCTCAACCTCCCCGGTGCATACACTAGGTGGCTGGACCTCCCCAGCAACGTCTGAGTCCCATGGTCACCCATCCTCCTCTACGCTACCAGAGGAGGAGGAAGAGGAAGAAGAGGAAGGCTACTGTCCTCGATGCCAAGAGCTGGAGCAGGAAGTTATCTCATTGCAACAAGAAAATGAAGAACTCAGAAGGAAACTGGAGAGCATCCCAGGTACACAGCCATACTTTGAGCAGACAGCAGCAGTGCAGAAAAAATGTACACACATACATACATACACACACACACAACACACACACACACGTGCATGGAGAGTTGCTAAAAACCCCTTCTCATGTAAACGACATCTCTAAATGGAGCAGAGGTTGGGCTCAGAACATAGTGGAATCTGACTGTGTGTTTGCTTAGGAGAGACAGGGAAGTAGAATCTGCATGATGACTTCCTAGCTGGACTGTCCGTTATGCCTTCAGAAAACTCCCTGGGAGAAGCTAGGAAGCTGTGTGAGACCATAGTGTTTCGCGTCTCAGTACATTCCCATGGGAAGACCTGGGGCTGTCTTGTAGAATCTACCCTATTTGACAGTCAGTTTGTGGCAGCTCGTCATCCAGGACAGACAGGCACATAGGAGAAGTCAGCAGACAGAATGAAAAAGGTTGAGGTCAGTTAAGCAAGTGCTTCACACAGCCCAGTGGTAACCCAAGTGTCTTCATGTTCTGAAGGTACTGCTGGGAACATAGAGGTTCCTGCTTCATTTTCTCCCCTGAAGTAAAGCCTGGAGCACACATGAACTAAAGGGGGTGAGCTCATCAGTTCACCATGAAAAGTGTGTTGGGGGTTCACAGGAGGAAGATCTAACCAGAGCAGGTTGGGGAGGAAGACCCTTCAACTACTGCTGTATGTTGCTGGTGAAATGTCTGCTAGCCAGGAGGTACTCTTACATTCAGAGGTCCTTTCGGATGTTGGAGGTTCACACCTAGGAGGTGACATTGGCACTTTTTTTTTTGTATTGGATCATCCCACTAGAAGTATGGGGGGCGGGGCGAGGGGGTTACAGGGATATTTGCTTCTCCACCCAGTTGTATGTGGTGCTGGAGAATAAACCCAGTCTTCACGAATGCTCGGCAAGCACTGTATTCTCTGGGCCTGAAAAACTCTTTAAGATCACAAACTTACCAATGAATATAACTTGAATGTCTTTACTGAGACAGTTATCCTTGTGTAGCCTGGCTGGACACTTGCTCTATAGATCAGGCTGGCCTTGAACTCAGATCTACCTGCTTCTGCAGGTGTGCACACCATGCCTTCTATTTTTGTTCTCTGCATATCTGAGTTTTTAGAATCCACAGGTAAGATAGCTCAGTCAGCTGGAGAGAGAGACACTCTGCAGTGAATAGCACTCACTGCTCTTGCAGACGACCTGGGTTTGGTTCCCAGTACCTACATGGCAGCTCACAACCAAATGTAATTGCTGTTTCAGGGGATTGGACTCCCTATTCTGGTCTCTGTGGGCACCAGGAACACATGTGGTACACAATTATGAAGGCAAACACACAAAATGAAAATTTAAAAAACAGACTAGATCAGACATGACTAATACTCCATTGAATACTTCCTTTACCTGTTTTCCTATTGCCAGAAAGTCATGTCATTTCTGTGTCACAGTAAACATAGAGTATGGATGTCTTCACAAGATAGTAGTTTTAACTTCCTTTGAATGTATTCCAAGAAGGGAGATTGATTCCAGGCAAAATGGCACACTATGCTTAATTTCTGTAGAAACCTCCATAATCTACATACGGAGGACAGTGGTATTCATCCTCACCAACAGTGGACGAGAGTTACTTTTCTCCACACCCCCGTCAACATTTATTATGTTTTGACTAAGTGATGTCTGTTCCAAGGATTGTGAGATGGCATGGCAGTGGGTTTGGGTTTTGTTTTCCTTGTTAATGACTTCTCAGCACCGTTCATTGACTGTATTTTGGGCATTTGTTTTTCCTCCTTTGGGTTTTCAAGACAGGGTTTCTCTTTGTAGCTTTGGAGCCTGTAGTGGAACTCTGTAGACCAGTCTGTCCTTGAACTCAGAGAAATCCACCTCTCTCTGCCTCCCAAATGCTGGGACTAAAGGCTTGTGCTACCACCACCCAACTGTTTTGGACCATTTGTATGTCTTTGGAGAAATATGTAATGGGCCTGTCTCTTTGAAACAGCTGAGCTCCTGATCCTCCATCCCCCCCCCCCACCCAAAGTCCTGAGATTATGTGTGTACCACTCTCCCTGACTCTTGCCTATGTGGGTGGAGGGGGTAGGATGGGGAAGGGAGAGAGGGAGGTTCTCTCACTGTCCTATAGCTCATATTTGGACTAGGCTGGCCAATCCATCCACCAGCCCTAAGGACCCTTCTCTCATCACCACACCACACCTATAACATGGATGCCAGAGCTGGAGTCAGGTCCTCAAGGATGTTTGTAAGGGAAATGTTTGATTGAGCTGCCTTCCTCTGGTAGGACTTTTATGGTTTCCATATTATATTTAGGTCTCCTTTGTAGTGTCTAATGTTTATGGTCTTACATGAATTGATGGCTGACTTTTATGTATGGTATTAGTTTTCAATCTAATTTCTTTCTTTTTTTGTTTTGTTTTGTTTTTTGAGACAGGGTTTCTCTGGGTAGCTTTGAAGCCTGTCCTGGCACTAGCTCTTGCAGACTAGTCTGGTCTCAAACTCACAGAGATCCACCTGCCTCTGCCTCCCAAGTGCTGGAACTAAAGGCTTGCACCACCACTGCCCAGCTAAGTCTAATTTCTTTTGCATGTGGAAATTCAGTTTTTGGGGCTGGAGAGATGGCTCAGGGGTTAAGAACACTTGATACTCTTATAGAGGACCTAGGTTCAGTTCCCAGCACCCTCCTGACCTGTAGCAGCCAGCACACACATGATGCTCAGACATTGCAAGCACACATGCTCATTCACACATGCACAAAATGAATCTTTAAAGAATACAAAAGAAAATTGAGTTTTTCCCAGTATTAATATTGCCAGTATTTAAAAAAAAAAAAAAAACTTCTACAAGGCATGATGGCATACACCTTTAATTCCAGCACCAGAGAAGCAGAGGCAGATGGACCTCTTTTAGTTCAAGGCCAGACCGATCTACATAGCAAGGTCCAGACCAGCCCAGGTTTCATGATAAGATCCTGTCTTTATGTGGGGGGGGGGGGGTGAGACCTACCTTCGTCTTTTGAGACAAGGTCTTGGTTTATAGCCCTCAAATCTCTGATCGTTCTGCTTTCCCCTCCCGAGTGCTAGGTCTATAGGCACCCAGCAGAAGTTCTGTTCTGTTTTATAAATCACACATGTGTGGTCTTTTTTGTTTATTCTTCTAACTCTGGACCCACACCAGCCATCTATTTCATCTTATAGACAAGGAAGTTGGGGCATAGAAGATGGGAGAGCAGCTGTAGATAGTTACATAGTCCAAGCCTTCTGACTTGGTGTCCAGTTTGTGACCCTCCACTCTGGAGTCAGTTCTCACCTTCAGGGTAGTTGTGTTGTCTGATCACCAGTGTGATCCTGAGTTATCCAGTAAGTTAGTTAGTGAACACTGTGGCATTACTTCTAGCAGAAATACAGAGCTAGGGCTCTAAGGATCTCCTGTACAGTGCCTTGAACTAATAAGTGTATAACCTTGTTTCTTTCGTGCTTTGGGTGTCGGCACTTCAGCACTACAGTGGAGGTCATTTTAAAAATGAATTCCCAAACAGAAATATAAGAACATCCCTAAATGCATCACGACAGGGACATTTGTTTCAAGCATAAGAACTGAAACAGGGCAGTCACAGCTGGCACATTTGTCAGGCGACTCACATTCCAAACTTCTTTGCACGAGTCTGCAAATGGCTTGCAAAAGTTCCGGTTTAGGGAGTTCCAAGCATACCTTAGCAAGCACACAAATTTGCGATTACAGAATCCAAGAGGGAGTAGTGACTGAACTACAGAGCTAACCCCGATAGTTCCCTGTGTCGTTAAGCAGGTACATTCGTACTACAGTTAGTGGTAAAGGGCTTTTGTGTACACAAAAGCCCCTGAGAGCGGCTACAGCTGTAGACTCATGTTCTTTGCTGGCTGTGACTCCTACATTTACTTATTTGCCCATTCTGAGCCTCAGTCTCCTCCTCTACAGCAAAGTTAACAATATTATAGGACTATGAAGCGTTAAATTCAGTACATCTTCCCATCAACACTTAATGTCACCTTCCTGAGACTGGAGACATGGCTCCCCTGTTAAAATCACTTGTTTCTCTTCAAGAGGGCCCATGTTCAGTTCCCAGAACCCACATGGTGGCCCACAAACATCCATAACTCCAGTTCCAGGGGGTCCCAGTACCTTCTTCTGTCCTCCTCGGGTACCAGGCATGCACACGGTGCACATAGCAGGCAAAACACACATACACTAAATCTTAAAAGAAGAAAAATGGTTGGTAGAGCATGTCTGTAATCCAAATGCCAAAAGGCTGAAGCAGGAGGAGAGTCCAAGATCCTTGTGGGATGTGACGAATCCCCATCTTAACCAGGAAAGAAAGAAAAGAGAGTATAGCAGTTGTGTGCCTCCCAATACCAAGATTGGAAGTTTTTCCAGAGGATAAGCAGTGTCTGACTTCAGAAAGGCCAGCGAGCCTTAGGTTTGTGTTGGCTTCTTGTAGTCAGTCTTCACATCTTTGGGGTTTTATTTGCGGGAGACAGTGTCCTATCTGTATAGTTGAGATTACAGGCCATGCACAGTTGTGCTTGGCTTTCGTCCTGAACATTTTTGGAGACTTTTCAACCGTCAGTGCCCATAGTACACCAAGCATCCATCCTCACTGGACAGGTCTGACTGTTGGGCAATCAGAATCTTTATCAGACCCCTGTCCTTTCCACCCCCAAAATGTGCTGTCTTCTTGAGAAACTCCTATGCATTCTTCAGTGCCCAGTTGAAGCAAGTCACTTCTCTAAGAGATCCTTCCTAACCTCCAGGCACATACCACACACAGTGCATACCTCAGTTAAAGTTGTTTTCAAGTCTGTGTTTACCCTGAGTATGGCTCCTGATGTCCTGATAAGGTAAAGGGTCATACACTGGGCTTGAGGGCAGAGACAATGCTTATTATCTTGATGTTGCCTCCCTGTTGAAACAGGACACTGTATGTGAACAGGAGCCAGCAACTGTAGGAGGCTAATACCTAAAGCTGATCATTTGGTTTGAGATAATCTATTCAGGAGCTTATTATAAAACATACAATTAGACTACATGAAGATTATTGAAACATAAGAGATAGCTGGGATTGTCATCAGTAAAAACATTCAACTTTCCTATAAAACTATTGAGTAATATTTTGAGGAGTTTGAAGTCTTTGACTAACAAGATAGATAAAATGGTGCTTGAGGGAAGAAAAGAAAGTGACCAAGATTTTAGCTGGGTGTGGTAGCACAGGGCCTGTAATCCAGTCATTTGGGAAGCTGAGGCAAGAGGAGAGTGAGCTCCAGGCCAGCCTGGGCTACATGACTAAATATTGGTACAGTAAAATTATTAGCTGGAGGCCTACTCAGCCTTAAAATAGGAAAACCAAAACTGTAGCAGTTTCTTTAAAGAGGCTTATGTGGGAGTGGCTCACCCAGTACAGCACTGAGATGGCAGCCAAGTTACGAGGCCTCTGAGGAATCCACTGGACTCATACAACGCCGGTAGCTCCCAGTAGTCTTTGCTTCTGCTTCACCTGCTTCAGGTGGTCCTCACAGTCACTGGAGTAGGTGATTATTCCAGTTTACTGGCACGAACACAAGAACTTAGGATGGGTAACTCGCCCAGGATCTTATAGCGGTAATGTAAAAGAGTTTACTTTTATCTTCAGTGTGCTAAGGACCCTGAGTGGGTGTTTAGCTGTTTTCCCTGATGGAGATGAAGCAGTCTTAGAGTCTAGGGGTTGGGGCAAGGTCTCTTTCCTGTTGTCCCAAACCATCCCATTTCCACTTTTCCCCGCTCAGATCTGTGTTGAGCATTGTAATTCCATGTTGTTCCTTAGAGGGAAGAACACTAGAAACACCAGTACCAGGATGGGCACTAGATATTTCTTGGTTTCTTTTGTAAGCACCTTTTTTTTTTCCTCTGTGGCATTATGAGACAGGATGTTAATATGCAGCTCAGCTTGGCCTTGAACTTGGCATTATAGATGTGCACCACTACACAGTCTCTCCTTTTGGTAGAAGCCTCTGTATTTCTCTTACTCATTTATTTTCTCCCAGAATCAGCAGAATGCACAGGGAACAAAAGATAACTGCCCAGTGGGTCACAGTTTCTTCACCAACCAGAATGGTTTGCTTAAATTCTTATTTGGCCCAAGGATGCTGCAGTTCTCTGTAAGACCTCTGGGGGAGTAATTGACTACTTAGTGCCCTACTCATATTTCTGTAGCTGTGGCTGTGAGCCCCTGACCTACCTCTCATCTTTTTAGAGGCCATAAGGCAGCTTGGGGTTTTTGCTTGGTTGGTTGGTTGGTTGGTTGGTTTTGTCTTCCCACAGAAAACATTTCACTTGTTTCTACAGTTTCCCTGTGGAAGTCTAGACAAGTGTCCAAAAAGGTACCAGCTAAGACATCTGGAGGCATCTGTCTCAGGAGAGATGGCAAGGGAAACCTGGAAGTGGGAGGGGAGGTCCAGGGTCCAGGAAGTCCACAGTGATTCCAAATTTTTTAAACTGAGAAAATGACTGTGTGTGAGTGAGAATTACAAATTTTACTATAGTTCCTATGCTAAATCAAGGGTTGTACCATATGCATGTCACAGAACATGCCCATTCCTTTCGCCTGTACCTCACCATCCTTGTGCCTCTGTCCCCAGAACTATTACAAGTGTGTGATACCATGATGGACTCTTCTGCTCTTTCATCAATTAATACTGAAAGCCAGAGGCATATTCCCTACACAGCATCAGCCAAATGGGTTGACATTTTAATTTGTTGGTAGGGGCTCCTTACATTCCCCCCCAATAATTTTTTTTTAATTAAAAGTTTTTCGTACAATATATGTTGATCATTTCTCCTTCCAGAACCTCCCCAACTTTGTGTTCTCTTTCTCACAAAAATAAGTAAATAAATATATGAATATTAGAACAAATAAGGAAAAGACCAGTAAGACAAAAACAAACAAAATGAGGCAGAAAGTCCATTAAAACAAGCATGGAGTTTCTTTTGAGTTGGCAGCTACTCCTGGGCATGGGACCTGTACTCACTCCATTGGCTCCATTGGATAAAACGGATTTTCCCTTTTCCAGGTGTAAATGGCAAATGACTTGAAAGCTAGCTAACGTGTCCTATTGCTATTCCTCCCACAGTGCCCTGCCAGACCGTCCTTGATTACCTAAAGACAGTACTGCTGCACCACAACCAGCTTCTGCCGCAGCCTGCTGACCAGCCCACCGAGGTAGGAGTGGCCTCTGGGAAGAGGGTTATGGGCTTGCAGGTGAAATTCCCCTCAGGTGAAGCCTGCTTACAGCTCCCAGTCTCTATGGAGCAGATTGGCTAGCCAAGCACATTGCTGCCTGGCCGTTTGTGGGTCTCTTGCTGGGAGTACAAACTGGAGAAAGACTGTGCTGATTTAATTTACAAAGATTCAGGAAATTGCATAGGAAATTGCATAGTCTTCCCTATTCCTTTGGAGCAGGGAAGTTGGAAATGGAGATAACATCCAGCACGCCTTCCCACATAACCTTAGTCTCCACATTCTCCTGCCTCCGGGGTGTCTGACATTCTCTGAGGTTTCCATTTTATCCCAGACAGTGCACGCCAGCTGTTTTCTTTCTCTGAGCCACAGTAGAAGCAGCTAGTCTCCTATTGTATAGCACAATGGTCTCTTGATGCTAAGGTGGTTTAGCATACTGCATTCTTACAAAGTTTTCAATGCTCAGTCTTGAGCATTTTACTACCTTCATGGTTTTAGACTTTAGAACGTAGCTTGAGTCTCCTTTCCATCCTCAGTTGTTGTGCTTCCTCCTCCATCACAGAGAGCCCCCAAAGCACCCTCTGCCAGCATCCCCATGCCATAGCCTCCATCCATCTCCATCAGAACCCCCAGTGCCTCTTGGATTCTGAGAACCCTAGACTCTCAGTTCATGCTTTCCAAATGACTCATTTTGAAATGATTAGGCATGTCTAAGGACTGTTCCGGTGATCTCCACTCTGTTTTTATTACCTCTCCACCCTATAATCTTACTTCCCTCACCACTTCCCAGTGATTTGCAGGAACACCCCCAACCCCACCCTGTGCCCTTCCTGGGTGTCTGGTCTAGGAGCCCTTTGCAAGCCTGATCCCTCAAGCTCTCGTTTCCTTCATGGCTTTTGTATCAGTGCTGCCTTCTGACTCATGCGCAGGGCTTTTTCATTGTTTCTAGGATACTTCCTTCCTTGTTCTGTACCATCTAGGTTTATGGTGCTCTTCTTCCCCCCTTCCTCTCCCCTCCCCCACTTCTCTGCCACTTGAAGGCTAAACAGTCCCACAGCCCAGTTGCTTATCACTGTTCATTGCTTGGCTGTTGGTGGGATGCCCATAGCCTCCTCACTCTGCACATACCTGCTCTGATACTTAACCTATCTTTGCATCCTCTTTCTATAAAGGTCTCGCCAAACCCAGGAGAAAGCTCCTGCCCTATTGGTGGGTTTCTTTTCATTCCCAACTTGTCGTGTTAATTTTCTACCTTCTGGTCTACCTCTCTCTTCTTTGCACAAAACAAAGTTGTCTTTCTAAGTTAAATATTGAGCCTAAATTAAAATTCGTATTTAAAGACTGCATTTGTTTTTGTTTGTTTGTTTTTTATTTTTTCTAGACAGGGTTTCTCTGTATAACAGTCCTAGCTGTCCTGGAACTCACTGTGTAGACCAGGCTGGCCTTGAACTCTCAGAGATCTGCCTGCCTCTGCCTCCCCAGTGCTGAGATTGAAGGTGTGCACCACCACCACCTGGCTGAAGACTGCATTTGTTAACTTGACATTTTATGGTATAAAACACAAGGGAAACATGTGCTTTCTCCAGGAAGTGTCTATCTCTGATTGCCCCTCCCTGTCTGTGCTCATATAATATATTGTAAATCTGTACCTGTGACCATCGTTTGACTAAAAGTCTTTGAAGACAATGAGGATGTTTTCAATGTGACTCGTTAAGTTAGGATTAGTAACTGAAGTGCATAATCAGCACCCCCAAATAGAAAGAGGGTCTGGGAAGATGGCTTAGCTGATAAAGTGCAAAGGAGGTGCCCAGCACCCACAGAAAAGCCAGGTGCAGTTCCTGATGTGCAGCTGTAACCTACTGCACTGTAGAGGGGACAAGTTTGCTAACCTATCAGCTTACCAGTCTGTTGAGCTCCAGGTTCAGTGAGAGATCCTATCTCAAAAAGGCAGAAAGGCTGGGTGAGGTGGTGTACATCCGTAAACCTTTAATCCCAGCACTTGGGAAACAGAGGCAGGAAGATCTGTGAGTTTAAGACCAGCCTGGTATACAAAATGAGTTCCATATCAGCCAAGACTACATAGTGAGACCCCCATCTCAAGTATAGAAAAGAAAGAAAGTATAGAAATTAAGGTGGAAAGTCATTTAAAGGAAGCCCCAACATTAAACTCTGCCCTCCATGTGTATAGGCATAAAAGTGCACTCATATCCCCACACACAAATTAGATAAGGACAGTGGATTGCTGTGTTTCCCTTGGACAGGGCTGTTTAAATTTCAATACCTGTCATCATCAACATTATTACTATACTGTTTTTATTGTCATTTCAGGCACCTGGGAATGTTCTTGTTTTTATTATTTTATTCTTTTTAACTATGCTAAAAACAAGATTATAACTTTCATCCATAACCCACAGGGCATTCTGAGTTTTGTTTAGGGCTATAAATTACTCTTCTGTTTCTTGATGAAAATTATCTCCAAATGGTAACTCTGTGTTTTATGAGACCCATATTTATGTTGAGCTGCTGTGGTTTGGAATTGTATGGGACTCTACTATGATTTTCTCAAAGATTTGAAAAAGTCTGTCTTGGATCACCAGTTCCCTAGTTACAAATACCCTCATCTTGAAATAGGCACAGTTTAGGGGCATAGCTTAGTATCAGGGATGATTGAAAAGCTCATCCAGGCCAGCCCATCCCACTTAAGAATTGTGATTCTTTGGAAAAAGGATACAACCTCGCTGGACTAGCTATAACTTTTCCTTGCAGGGAGGCACCCCAACCCCAGGGGAACAGATATATTAGGATGATGATGTATTGAAAAGATAAACAGTTCTAGAAGTAGCTGTGCAGTTTTCCTCTTAAGTTTAATGGTGAATATATTCACAAGGCCTGTAAGAGAAGGGTTTTTTTTTTTTTTAAACCTTCATTTTTATTTTTTGTGTATGGGTATTTTGCATATGTCTGTGCACTGTGTGCATACAGTACCCATAGAGGCCATAAGAGAGCATTGGATCCCCTGAAATGACAGATGCTTTTGAGCTACTTTGTAAGTGCTGGGAACTGAATGCAGGTCCTCTTGAAGAGCAGCCATTGCTCTTAACCATTGGATTATCTCTCCAGCCTCTGGCTTTAAATTCTTAACTACAACCACTGTTGCCAAGCACCTGCTTTGTGCCGGTCATGTCGGTAAGCCTTGTACTACATGGTTCATTCAACCAGTGTGTTTCACCTGCTATTAACTCCAGGAGCAGATTATTGCATGGAGCATACAAATCCTGGCCCTCAAGAGCTGTTTGGTGGGAGATGAATGGACACCTTAACAGAAACTGGGAATCTGTAATTGTTGCTTTGTTTTGTTCTCTTTTGAGCCAGGGTCTCACTCTGTTCCCAAAACTGCCTCTGGAGCTCACTATATAGCAGAAACTGGCCTTGAACTCTGAACAGATACCCTGCCTCAGACTCTAGAGTGCTGGGGTTACAGATGTGAGCCATCGTGCTTGGTGACTATGGTATCATTGGCCCTACTTTGACAGTAAAGAATAGTCCCCTCCCAGGCTGAATCCATGGCTCAACTTTAAAATGGTGTTTTGTTTTGGTTCTGTTGATGGGTGTTTTGTTTTCAGTTTGTAGGTGGACCACGTGTTAACCCAGTCCCCTCAGGCCCTGAGACTAGAATTACAAATGGTTATGAGCTGCCATGTGAATTGAACCCAGGCCCTCTGGAAGAGCAATCAGTATTCTTAACATTTGATCCATCTCCAGTGCCAATCCCCTCCCTGTCCTCACCCCCACTGTTATTGTACAATTGTTCAGTAAGAAGTGCAGCTGTCACTGAAGAACTTCTGTAAAAATGCTTTAGATAAGGAGTGGTTCTGAACCAGTTTGGAGTCCACCTACCTCAAGCTGCACCGACTGCCTGGGTTGAAAGGTCATTCGTTGGAAATCTTCTAAGCCCCTACCTCTCTGTCCATGAGAAACCATGGATTATTTATTTTCCCTTCTGCTTCAGCCATGCAGCTCAACACCCTTTCACTTAGGTAGGAATCTGTGTTCTACAACCTAGCTGCCTCGTTCCTTCCTCCACACACTGCCCAAGACTGCACTCTCACCACCTCCTCCTTGAGGGCAGATGAAAGAACCTGTGGACCCTGTGCACAAGGTCCCAGAGCTAAGGGGTCTGTACGCTGCCCCCTGTTGATACCCATGGCCACTTGAAGCAGTTCAGGAAGTTTTCTCAAGTTAATAAGACAGGAATCCAATTCATTTTAAAGTTAGCCTGTCTCTAAATTTAACTACCTTCCTTAAAGGAAACCAATTTGCATTGCCATCTTCAGGAAAATGCTGAAGAGATGAGTTTCTGTGTGTCCTATTCAGTGAATGCTTCCTAGGCAAGTGCAGCCTTGCTGTCCTGCTGACTTTCATACTAGGATCTTCTCCATACTTAACTAAAGCAAGCGGTTTCTGAAATAAAACCCTGTCAGACTCAAACAGTGCCAAATTTATAACCTGTAGTAAATTGTTAGAGTTGTAAAACTGAATGAGCTTCCCTTTTTTATTTTGTACACCTTAATTACTGGGGAAGAAGTATATTAAAACTGAGATCATGGGTTAATTAATTTGTCCTGGACTATAGAATTTTATGGACAGCCAAATCTAAAGTAATGGTTGCGTGGGTGCAATTGACTAAACATGGCTTATAAATGTTACAGAAGTCCCTGTAATTAGTCCCTCTGCCACTATTCAGCTTGGGAATTTTACAGCAGATATAAATTATGAAGGTAAAAAGTAAGAAAAATTTTGAGTTGACAACGTTGGCATTTGCAGAAGCTACAATTTGAGAAGAGCTGTTTTGCGTTATTTTTTTTTTTTTCTTCAGTTTCCTTCTCTTAAACCCACTCTTTTCATGTTTTCATTGTTACACAATGACAATCATGTGTTAGGTGCCTTAAACACAAGTAATGCCTATTAAAATAGACAATCAGCACCATTTCTCTTAAGACCTCAGCTGGCAGCCAGAGGATGAAGGGACCTGTTTGATCACACTCTTCAAAGTCATTTTTGCATATTTAATAGATTGAAAGGGAAAGTTACAGGTTATATTTAAAGAGTGTTCCCTGTCATTGGATCTTGACACATTTTAACCTACCTGTTAAAATGCGAGTTATAAATAGCTCCTCTTTCAGAGGTGTTCATTATACCTCATTGGCTCTTGTTATAGAAAATGCAAATGTAATTTGAAAAGTGCCCGTTCTGAGTGTGAGCAATTACTTGTGCTCTTCAATGCCCGGTTCATTGTCAGCATAGCCACTTGGTTTAAAAGCGTGTTTGCCTTTGAAATGGAGATCATTTGGCTTCTGGCTGGCTCGCTCAGTAGGTAATGAGAAAATATTTTCCTTTTCTAGGGAAGCAAGCAGCTGTTGAACAACTATCCTGTCTACATAACGAGCAAACAGTGGGATGAGGCTGTAAATTCTTCCAAGAAAGATGGGAGACGGCTCCTTCGATACCTCATCAGATTTGTTTTCACAACCGATGAGCTTAAGTACTCATGCGGCCTTGGGAAAAGGAAAAGGTCAGTGCAGTCAGGAGAGACAGGTCCCGAAAGACGCCCTCTGGATCCAGTTAAAGTCACGTGCCTCCGAGGTACTGCATCCTTCCCCTCAGTGTCCACCATCCGTGATCCCATTTCACTGCATTGGCTGTGGCTCCCCACACAAGTGTTCAGCTGTTACTGTATTTTTATTTTTATTTTTTTTATTTTTATTTATTTATTTTTTTAATCTTTACACCAAGACTTTCTAAGCTTCGTGTGGCCCATCAACTTGGTGTTGAAAAGCTCTATAAACGATTCTTTGCTTTAGCCTCGTTTTCACATACTGGTACAAAGGCATCGCATAGTGCCTCATGTTTCACGCTTTCAGTTCAGATTTTCTTGCTGCCAGAGAAGGCCACATTCAGCAAAACTGGAGCATAGGGAAATAGGTGCAGGGAGAGAAGATGTGCCATTTTGTAATTAGTAAAAAGATAGCTTGATTCCATGGGCCTTAATCTGGCTCCTTCTTTAGTAATACATGCAAAGCATACTGGAAGTAGACTTGACCCATAAAGCCTTTGTAGGTTATGTGTGGGTTGGGGGTGGTGAGAGAAAGAGAGATTAAGAGAGATTATCTATGTTTAAAACTTCTGCCTACATGACACAGTTTGGTCAGTATTTTAGGTGATTGCTTTGGTCTTCACAGTTGCAGGTCAGGCAAAGGTTGGGGAACTAGCAGTTGATGGAATAGGTTCCATCAAACACAGACAGATAGAAACATAGAACCACTAGAACAGTCTGTCCGGGAACACAGAACAGAAAGCACAACAGAAGACCCTTCACAATTGAGTACTAATTTTATTAACTAGAAAGACATGCTGATTGAGTCTGGATAGGAATCCAAGTTTTTCCTAGTGATAAAGTCACAGTTTGATTGATAGATTGACCGATCAATCGATCACTTTTAAGACTTTGACAGTTGGAAGGCTTGTCCCTGTACTCACCCCAGGACACAGCCTTCTTTTAGACACGAGACACCCCTCCTGCCAAAGTACACATGTCCTGTTGGGTAGCAGCTAGGCATCTCTAGCTCACCCCACACATTTTCATCCTGCAAGGATTGAAGGGTTGGTGCATGCATGGCTTTCAACCATCCTAGATGATTGTGATGCAAGTGCCCCGTGCTAGGGGAAGCCACTTCGCAAGAATTGCCTTCATTAATTCATATCAGTACTGTAAAGCGATCCTGTGGGCCAGTCCGAAAATTCCACTTACTTTGCATGACCAGCTAATAGAAATTTCCAGAATCTATCTTATTTAACTAATTGATCATAATTCCTCTTATTCCCCAACAGCAAATCAAAGGTGGTAGAATTGCTCACCAAGATGCAGTGTTGGGCTCAGGCTTCTTATTTGTGGAACCAAAGTAGTAAAAACTAAACCAACTGTATCCCTTCTGGGGAAATGATCCTCACTAGGTAAAATGCTTGCTGCACAAGTTTGAGGATCTGAGTTTATGCCTGGGATCCATATAAAAAGCTGAGCAGGGAACCACTAAGGAAGACATTTATCTGTGTTTTCAGCAGCAAATGTTCCTAGAGGTTTTGGGTGGCTTTTGCTCTTGCACATGGAACACTGTGTGGGGTAGATTGGTTGTAGTGAGTGACACCCTGGACCTCCATGTAACTCTTCTGATAGTGCTTCTAGTATAGGTTAAGAAGACTTTCCATTGTCATCTGTCAAAAACCAGCTGTTTGCTGTCTTTTTTACTGTTGTTTGTATTCCCACAGAATTCATTAGGATGCACTGTACCTCCAACCCTGATTGGTGGATGCCTTCAGAGGAGCAAATAAACAAAGTGTTCAGCGATGCTGTGGGTCATGCCCGACAGGGACGGGCAGTGGGGACTTTCCTGCACAACGGTGGCTCATTTTATGAAGGGATGGATCACCAGGCTTCCCAAGATGAGGTCTTCAACAAGAGTTCACAGGATGGATCTGGGGACTAGTGGACAGAATCTTCCCACCTAGCAGTGGTGTTTTTGTGTTTTGTTTAAGAGCTCCAGTTGTGAATGTCCATTTCCTTGTTACCTTAGAGTCCAAAGCATGTTATTCTGTCGTACTTTACACATTTTTCAAACTTAAAACTCTTGACCCACTGCCACAGTTCCCAAAAAGAAATCCACTTTAGGGTTTTCTGGGAAGTCTCTGGATCCCAAAGTAGTATTATATCACAGAGGAAAGGGTACAGTTGATATAAAGTCATTACTAGGTATACATCAGGAGTGCCTCCTGTCCCTTACATCAAGAGTGTCTCCTGTCCCAAGTCTTCAAGTCAGCCTGGCCTCCTGAGCAGAGCTGGTCTCCTGGGAAGGTTCAGTTAGCATTCCTGCACATGCAGGAAGGGAAGACACAGTTGTTTTCAGGAACAAACATTTTCTTATTTAATTCAAGTAAGTTTTCTTTCAGTTTTCCAAAGACTTGAATTCAGAGTTCTCAGCAAAGAGGACAGGTGACACTGTAAGCTCCCATATGTTATAATCTCTTGTTGATTGGAAGCCAGAGGACAGAGGCCATGTCTGTAGATGGTCAAGGTCAGGTCAGCTACTTTTCTGTTATTTCATAGACAGACAAAACTCACTGTGTCCATCAGAAAGGCAGTCTGGTTTCTGTGGTTTATAGGCAGTAGATTTTATATCTTTAGGAAACATCCAAAGATTCAAAACCATTTTCAGAAGCCTTGATGCATAGCTTCCATAGCCTTAAGTCATACTCCTTCGACACAATGCCAGGGTGGTGGGTTAGTGAGAACTCTCACTAGCTGGCTGTTTGGTAAGATCAAGCACAGGATATGACTGATGGCATCTGCTGCTGACTGGGGGTAGGGGGGGTGGCTTTGTAGATGCAGGTTCAAGGCTGTTGACAACTATGCAGTAGCTTGTCAGTTATTTCTCTGAAACTTGAGGACCTTTCTGGGCTGGGTTAGAATGTATGGAACTTCTGTTTCCCATTGTCATGGATGAAAACGCCTCATCCAGCTGTTCCTCCTTTCTCCACAAGTCCTCTGCAGTCTAAGCTCTGGGTGACTATTCTGCTTCCCGGCTTAATCTGTGGAACCCATATGTAAGGTTAGTGGTGCCCTGGGAGCTGTTTCCCAGGAGAGGCTAGAGGTGCTAGAAGCATCTTTGATAAGGACTCAACTTTGGACATGAGTGACGTGCTTACCAAATGAGCCACGATTACTGTGTGCTTTGTGGAACCAAGAGCTACAGGGACAGCATTTATTGAAGGTTGTGAATGACATCTACAAACACAGTCAAGAGCTTTGGAAATGGGATAGAAATTCAGACTGTATCCATTTAGAAAAAGACTTTGGGGGAGGCCAGTTTTGTCCAAATAAATAACATACCTTTATATTCAATATTTAGCATCAGATTTTGAACAAATCGGCTGAGCAGTTTAGAAGTAAAAGAAGTTGAATAAATGAGCTGTCACTTACAATGGATGAGATCAGTGTCCTTTGCTATCCAAGAGAAGTGGGCATTTCTTAATGTGTGCTCAAAGGTCTGGGAAATCAGTCAGTCCTAGGAAATCTTCAGTGCCATAAAACTTTGGGAGGAGCCCACCATCCCCTCATCTGCATGTCTATCTTCCCCTTACACTGGTCTTCAGTGCCTCTTGCTGCTGGGCATGTTGTCCTTGCAACAGTGGCTATGTTTTAGCAGCTGTTTTTAAGGGGTGCAGACTTGCAGGCTGTGTCTTTCCCCTATAAGGTTGAGGAGTCTGGACACACCTTCCATGCATCATCTTGGAGCCCACAGTGGAGCAGGTCTTCACTAAGGGTGACAGGAGCAATTTGGGCACCAACTCTCTGAGCCTTTAACTTACCACAGCTGTGGGGCAGGGACAGGAACCTCCAGACTGGCTGTTGCTTCTGCTACTTGAAAGGGTGCCCATGCTAGGTTCCCACCTTTGCTCCTGAACCGCCTGCTCTGTGCCTCTCATTCTCACTCCAGGTGAATGTCTGCTCTGTCGTCCATTTCCCATAAGTGACCAGTTCTGAAACAGTAGAAGTGATACTGGCCAATGTTCACATGAGGAAACTAAGGACCGCAGCACTGACTTCCTCAGCATCTGCAGCCAGTTTGCATGTGTGTCCTGGGCCTAGGACCGGTAGTCATCAGCCACAGTCAAGTGTCCATTTTTCCTGCCTCTGTTTACATAATTGCTGTTTTCTTTAGCTTGGTGAATTCCAGGGCAGCTTAGACCTGTCTCAGTACTCTGCTGGCTCTTTCCTCTAGTATCCATTTAAGGCTAGGTGCTACTCTGGTTATGCTGGGCTCCTATGTGGTCACCTGAATGTTAAATCAGCCTGAGAAAGGCGCTGTGTCTGGCAGGGATGCAGAGCTCACCATTAATCATGCTGTCCTGATCTCTCCACAAGCCTTTGATTTAATGTTTGGAGGTCTGAGGATGTTGTGAGCTTGGTTTGATTTTCCACATCATTCTGGCAGTCAGACACATTGCTCTCCCAACACAAAACTTAGTCCTCTGTCAACTTTTAGAATTACCCAGAGCCATTTAGTGTTAGTTTGAAGTAGACTTGAGTTAGGAACAGTTCAAGATACAGTTGTGCTGTTTCATTGATGAGAAAAATGTGGTTGCCAGGCTGGTGTGGCTAAATGTGATGTTTTTGTCCATGATTGGGTAGATCCAGTGTCCTGGCTATCAGAAGCTCCATGGTTAACAGTGACATTGTCGTTGTGTAGTCTTCTTTTTCCAAATTAAAATGCCTGCTTCTCACAGTGATTGATCCCCAGGCCAAGAGGAGGATGACCCTAGAATGACCTATTAGGAGACTGGGACCAGGAGCCTACAGAGGGGAGCAGTGTTCTGCTAGCATTTGATAAGGTCACATTTCTCATCAGCCCATTTGTGGATGCACTGTTCAGCCTCTCGTGGTATTAAGAAAACTGAAGCATTTCAAATTGTAGCTTTTTTGCTTGTAAGTATTTCTGCCAGGCCTTTACCCTGGTCCTTGTCCATCATAGCATTTGGGGAAACTGTCGCCATGTGTTGCGTAAGGCTTCCCTAAAGAGGTAGCAGAGAGTATAGGCCAGCAAAAGTGTTGTCATCTCTTGGTCAGGTGTTGAGGGATACATGTCACCACTCAAAGCTGTAGTCAGTGGGTGGTTCATGTGTCATCCCAGATAAGGAGACGTGTAATTACAACTGTATAGCACAGCTACTCTCCATGGCTTCGGGTTACAGTCACTGATAGCAATAGGATTTTTTTTTATTATTATTATTCGGTCCAGAAACGATTCTTGAAATAATAGATGTTTACACAAAATCTAAACAATAACTCTAACTTAGGAATCTGTAGGTATGTGATTTCTGCATATCCCTGCTGTTTATGACTTGTGCCTCTTTTCTGCAACTCTGAGAAAGTAGATGGAGCTCTGTGGGAAGATGTGCACCGTGTCCTGAATGAAAACATGCATTGCCCTCATTTGAGTTCTCTTTTTTGTTTCTTTTGTTTTGGTATAGGGGTTAAATATTGTTCAGTGTGTGCTATAGACTAACCCTGACACCCACTGACTACCTCCTTAGTTTCGGTATTGACCAGTTATCTTTTTTGTTTTAAAGTTCATTTTTTGGTGACTTTTAGAAAAGGTTGTAAATGCTGTACTAGGTCTGTGTTAATCTATGACTGCTTTCCCATGTGGATTTGGAGAATCGTGATAGAAAATGGTTTTGCACATACGGTATGAGTCTTTTGCTGGTGTGTGTTGAATTTGGTGACACTTGCAAAGCTGCTTGGCAAACACGTCAAGAGGAATGCTTGAGTCACAACTCTAATGCAAATGTGTCGAAACATCAGTGTGTGTCATTATGGTGTGTTTTTGTAAACATGATGGTGGCTTCTTTCAGTCATACAAGTACTGGATAAAAATAACGCTTGAAAACTGGAGGAAAGTGTCACTTAGCTGATCACAAAGCTACTTGCATTATCAGCCGGGGCGTGCGTGCGTGCATGCATGTGTGTGTGTGTTTACAGGAGAGGGACAAATTGACAATAGCAATGTGGAAGACAAAAATAATACCCATACCACTTTTTATAGGGCAAAGTTTAATACTTTGGCTGATGCATTTACACATTAGAGGCCACTTGGCACTATCCATAGTATATTGAATTTTGGGAAATAGTGAGAACTGGAATTATCATATTTAATGACTGGCTTTGTCAGTCTTGACTGTTGAAGGCAGTACATTACCAAAAACTTGGCTTCTGAGCTTAGATAGCTGGCTGTAAGGGCTGTGCTCTTATTGAATCACAGTTTCCCAAATTGCAATGAAAGTGCATCTGCTATAAAGACCCATTGGAAAACCTGGGTCACTTTGAACAGTGGCCCTAGTACAAGTGACTCGATGTGCCTCAGCATGTTGCAGAACGATTTGGTCCCATTGGAAATCACTCCCATGGCAATAGTTAAGTACAGCTACCTAAGTGTAACTCTTGATTTCCTGTGTGCTAGCTGCTTCAATAAGCACTTTACTGTGTCCTTCCTTATAACCTGCACAGCTGCCCTAAGCTGTCACTGCCCAGGGTGCTCGCTGGAGATCACTGAGCTCAGCAGAATTACCCTTCTGTTTGCCCCAGTCAAGCATAATTCTCAAGGTCTGCCAACACTTTGAAGTGATTTTTTTTTTGTTTTGTTTGTTTTGTTTTGTTTTTTTCTGATGCTATCGAGGGAAAGCTGGCATTTGTATCAATCACTACATCTGCTTAGGAAGTACACAGGTGCTTAAATACAAGTATGTGAAGCTTGGGCCTCCAGGAGTTTCTTACAGGGCTAGCATGAGTCGTGGCCTGTGTGACGTTCTGTGAGGGAGACCAGAAACTCTTAAGGGAAATGGACACATCAGAAGCCTAGTTCCCTTTTACTTGTGTTCTAGGTTCCCTGTACAAGATGCAGGAACATAAGAGAAAACTTTGCATTTTGTGACTAGATCTTCTTGGGGAACACCTGGTGATAGCACTGGGTATTGGCCAGTGTTCCCTTCTGTGTGGCTGGTTTTGCAGCCTCCTGGAGACACTTAAAATATAGTGGAACAGGAGGTTTTAACTGACATTGTCACTGTGAGAACTGTAGAGGAGATCATGTAAAGAACATAGTGACCTGTTGATTTTTGCCCCTGTAGTTTTAGCTTTCACATCCTTGAGAGCATGCCAAAGCCATGAGGGGCCCGGCTTGTGCCTCTTAGGAGCAAGTCCTGCTGGAGGCAGGT